TAAAGATTCATCTGTGAATTTATTAAGTCAAAGTCTGAGAATAAATACTATAAGTTTTCATTTTAGCTCAAGGATATCTAATGTATTGATGTGTAAATCCTCGGAAGCTTTTATAATAATATAGGGGTGTAAAGAAGTAAATTCTGAAATGTAGACAAATAAAAAGGGGATATATAAAAGTGAAAATTGAGAATTTATTTAAGTGTTTACTTTTGAAATTGAGAAATTAATATTTCTGTAATATTAAAATTTGAATTATAAGCTATGTTTTGATGCCAAGTTTATTGACCTACCTTAATAATAAAGTAGTTTAATTAAATTTTGAATGTAACTCTGTAAAAAGGTTGTGACATGCACATTTTGACCCGCCCTTGTCTCACAGGTTAATAGTGTTGTTCACCATGTACTTTTATATGTTTTATAGGATTCTAGGATTTCTTAGTAAAATTACTCTAAAAATTCAAGTGCACTGTTCCAAATTTAAGAATAATATTTAATAATATGAAAAATTATGAATTTTTACTTTTGTTAATATTCTTTAAATCCAGGGTCATCATATCTACATCCTATTAATTAATTATTGTTATTATTGCTTATGTAAATTGAACCAATCTTTGTGTGTTTATGAGACTTAGATGCATATTAGTAAATTTTGTTTTAATATTTTATACTGTGTAGCCCCAAAATAGGTATTTGCTTGTTAACTTCTGCTAAATGAACATTAATGCACTAATTATTGTAGCCCTGCCAAAAAAAGAACCAGAGTTTTTAGATGGGTTAAAACCAGTGAATCTCCCAGAAGGTCAGTCTGGACGTTTGGAAGTTCTTATTAAATCGGATACCAAACCAGAAATCAAATGGTATGAATATGTTTTTTTTTTCATGATATATATGTTAATGAGTAATAGATTGAAAAGAAATGTGCATAACTCATAGTATTTGGCTACAAATTCTGTTTATAACAAGTTTTTAATTGATATGATTTCTCACATCCTTGTTGAAGAATGATTTGTTTGGAAAGTAGAACAGTTTTGTTTTGATACACATTCTTGTACAGATTTTTTTAAGTCCAGGACATTAAACTTCTTCCAAAGAAACAAAAATAAATACGTTATCTAACACAAATGTAAATCAAGGACGATTGTAAACTAGTATAACTTGGCATTTTCAAGTTACAGAACATAGATATTTTTGGAGCTAAGCTTATCTTACATAATATGTTGAATGGTTGATAACAGCCTAACAAGAGATTCTAACATTCTACTGTTTAAGTAACAGTTATTCTTTCTCAAAGTAATTATACTGCCCTCTTTATATGCTTGTTTCCAATATGATACCTTACCTCTTCCCACATATTAGCTTTCTTTGATTTTGTGCTACCCCATATATGCAACCTTGAGGGTCCCACCTAAATTCATGTTTCATGTGATATTGCTGCACTATAGCATGCAAATGTGCATGTCATAAACCTCCACCAATAGGAGTGCAACACACCTTCCTAGCACAGCTGACTCCCTCTATACTGATTATTTAATCATTCCTTCTTGATTTGGGATTCATGTGTAATGACAGAACTTTTTTTCACAGGTGAATATTTCAGATATGGACGTATTTTTAATGGAAGTATTTATAAATATGTTTCTTGTTGTGGAAGTGTTTATTGTTTAATTTTTGCTTTCCAACATTTTCTGCACCTGCAGATTTTGTGACCTTTTATTTCCACATTATTATTTTATAAGTGTCAGTAACTTCCATTTTGTCTGGTTTGAGATAACAAGATATTGTTCACTCTAGTCTAGCAACTACATTGACATTGGGTTTGTCTATGTATGTTGGGGAAAGTGATGGCTTTTGTGTAGCAGGTGGTGGAGTAGTTCATGCAGTCTGGGCCTTCTTTTGTACCTGACCTACTTCCATACGTCTGTTCACGACAGAAGGTATTTTATGGGGTTTTCCCACCACCTACCTATGCCTTATCTCATACTCATGCTGAGCTTTTTTCATCATTTTGTGACTGGGTTTCTCAGGTATGTTTCTTTTCTTCTCTTGGTAATTCATTCCTTGCTTCTTCCTTTTATGTTTTTTACTTCCCATCCAGATATGCCAGTCCATATTCAATTACTTTTACCACTACTTTGGTACATGCACGTCTCATCCTCCTTCCTTTGTTACCACATACGACTAGACGTGACTTCATGCTTGGAGTCAGATCCTCTGTTTTTTGTTCGTCTTACTTAAGCTTTCCCACCTTCATCTTACACTCTCTACCATTTCCATTATTTTACCTCCATTCTCCTTCAGGGGGTGGTACATCTGTGTTGGTTAGTCAACCTGGAGAAGTCTCATCTCACAACCATATAGTTTCTTATTCATTTGGGTGTTTTTCAGTTTTCATCTCCACAGGGTCCAGTCTTCTCCTCTTCTTTTGAAAGACATGGAGTGATTAGTTTCTTATGCTCTATCCTCTCCTTCTCTCAATGTGTGTGTGAGGTTTCTCTCTTTTGGGGACTTGGGCTTCTATGGAATCCCGTATCCCCTTGGATCATGCTCATTGATGACATATACAGTGGACTCTGCATGATCTCTGGTTCCTTTCTTGGGATTCCTTTTCCTCCACTATTCTCCTTCCTTATTCAAGCACTTCACTTGGTGACTTGATAAAACCAGTACCATAAAGGGTGTTCCTCTTCCTTCCTTTCATCCGGATCCCCATCTGTTTCCAGATGCACTCATGTGAATTTGGGTTTTGGATCATTTACTTATGATGGTTCATGGAGATCTAGTGATTACACATACACTCAACTCTGCATTTGTTTCCTATATCAGTCACCAGAGGGACACTCCCTCTGTTTCCATGCTCTTAACCTTCTTTTCTGGGACCATTTTTTACAAGTATGTCTAATAGCATGTTATATTCAGGATGCCCTGAATTGTATTGTGGATTATCTCTCAAGGTCCAACAAGACACTACCTACAGAGTGGTGCCTTGACCTTCTGAACATTCCTCTTATAAATATTTTGCCATTCATCTGAACAGCATACTTCCTATTTTCTGGTCCCCAGTTCCTCTTCCCTCAGCTCTATGTGTGGATGTGCTCAGTTGAGACTGGTCCAACTTTTTCTCTATGCCTACCCTCCTATTCATCTTCTCCCTCATGTGTTGTGTCCTATTGATAGCTTTATACTAGCTGACTCAGTCATGGTTTCTTTTATTCAACCTTCTTTGGTCCTCCCCTCCTCTTCTTCCACCCCTTTCATTTCGATACTCGTTCAACTATACTCCTCTTTCTCCAATCCAGTAGTGTTGTCACTCTGACTTCTAGTGTTGGTTTTCTCCAGTCCCTTGCAAAATGTTGCAGATTCTCTTCACACATAGCTTTTCTTGTTATGTTCATTCTTCCTCCCTCCTTTTCAATCCACGAAAATTACACTCTTTTCATAGTTGGTCTCTGTGTTGTGTTGTTTCCCTTTCCCTCCCTTCTATCCCCCATCTTTCTAAAATTTTTTATGGCTGTTCAGCCGAGGCTTATTGTATTCAACCATTGCTGTCTATAGGGCAGCTCTTCCTCCTACTTATGTGTTTTTCCTTTGACATCACGTATTCTCCTCTCCTGTCTTTTCTATGCTCTTTCGTTCTTTTTGCCACCTGCATCTTCCTTGTCCTGCAGTCCTTCCTGATTGGGACCTGAATGCTGTTCTCCTCACCCCTACCCTTTCTCTGTTTGAACCTTTAGTCTATTGTTCCTTATGCTGTCTATTTATATTTCTTACTTGTGACTGTAGGAGTTCTGACATGTATGCCATTGCTGCTTGTAGTATTATTTTTCTTTGTTTTTATATTCTTTGTTTTCTTACTTGTATGTTTGTACTTAAGATGTCTGTTCTTCATGAAGGGACTGCATGAGCAATCCACTTCTAACTTTTATTCTCATTATAATTTGGATCATTTTATCTGTCCCATCATTGTGGTTCATTTTTATTTGGTTTGGGCTTGTCTTTTTCATGGTTCACACTCCTGTCTATTTATTCTTTGGTATTCCTCATCTTCCCAAGATATTTCTCCTTTTATGCTCATGGGACAGCTTCAGCAGCCTCATCCATCTAGCCTGTGCTTCATTGGATATTGTTTCACATCGACTCTTTTGGGTCTTGTCTTGTCAAACCTGACACCTTACTCTCTTTCTAGCTGCTCATTTCCATTGGTTGTTGAGGGAAATTGTGCAGGCTAATGTGTGGACTGGCCTTCGTGCTTTTGTCGCACATTATCTTCATCATCTGGCTATTTTTTCTTCTTTGGGATAAAGACTTCCTCCCATCGCCATTCTACCCATACCTTACCAGCTCCACAGTTTCTAGCTCATGGTGGGCCATTGAGGTTTCCTCCTGAGTGTGGCCAATTACACTCAGTAGAAAGAAAGTACGGCAGTGATATTCTGTTGGTGTACATGATGTGAACCTCCACCTACAGTGGAATGGACGAAAAATTCCAGAGAACACCTGGTTTTAGACTGGACATGATCCACCAAATGCAGTTCCCTGGCTTTCCCCCATCTTACCACTGACTGGATGTTGGTTCCTGGGCTCTCTGCTGTTGGATCAGCATAAGACCAGCCAACATAAGTACTCACACCTCCTCCTACCACGGGACAAATGAAAAATTACAGATGGTGCCTGCTTTTAGACTGGAGTTGACCCACCACATTTGCTTTCACCATCCTATCATTGCCAGGATGTTGGGTTTCTGGGTGGTCCGGTGTTCAATGTGTGGATAGACTATCATGAACATTACCAAAGTTGGTATAACAGAAGTTATTTTTTCCTTCTACTTTTTGCTATGGAGGTGAAGATAGTTGGGACCCTTCTCCTACTGCAGACGAGATGAAACACACCTAATACTGCCTGGTTTTGGACTGCAGTTTACCCGTCTCTTACAGTCTGGCTCTCCCTAGCCATGCTACATCCATTTTCCATACTTTGTTTCTGCCTGATTTGCTGACACATATTTCCACTGGTACAGTAGGAGTATGGTCTCCATTGGGTGTACTCCTGTGCTTTCATGGTATAGGGTGTCATGCTTCATGGGTTCTCTTTGAGTACTTTCTGAAGGGAACTCATCTAGGTAACTTTTCCATTGATTCCTCCACCACTTCATTGTGGGATTCTAATTAATATATGAGAGCATGTAAGGTATCATGTTGAAAGTTAACATTTTCTAACATTGAAAATGTATTTCTGATAGATACTTCCTACCTGTCCTCCCCACTTTTGGTGTATCATTTCTGCCTAATCTCGAAGTAAGGATTGAACAATCAGTATAGAGGGAATCAGCTGCACTAGGAGAATGTGTTGCACTCCTATACCATGTGAAAACACATGAATTCAGGTGGGAGCCTCAAGGATAGTAGGAGAATGTGTTGCACTCCTATACCATGTGAAAACACATGAATTCAGGTGGGAGCCTCAAGGCAAATGAAAACTAGTGCACGTAG